ACAACAGCAAAATTATCACACTTCAAATTCAACACTTGCCACAAACTTTCTGTTACACGCATACTCGTACTCACTCAAAATACACGTATAGACGCACACACATAGATTTATACCGTTATATTCGCAAACTCTCCGCCGGAAACCTACAACTTTTGTTTTCATGACTGTCAAGTAATTTCTCCTATAATGCCAACACTGCCGCCTTTTGTTTATTCATCACTCCCGGCTCACTGTCTGACTGACTAACTGTCCTTCCACTTGTCGTAGCTTGTCTCGTCTTGTCTTCGCCTGCTTCTGTGCGTCTATCAGTTGCTGCTTCTTGTGCTTTTTATGTGTCATCAAATGGTTATTTTGTTGTTCTCTTTGCTCTTCTCTACTTCTCACCCAACACCTACTTGCATATATACACTCTCAGTTAACTGTTCTTTTCATGTCGTGGCGCAAGTGTAATACTTTCAACTATCCTGGAATCTCTATTCTAGTTTATTGACATTCCTTAAATTTCTTTTTTCGCTTTGATTATTTTCTGGCACAACTTCGAAAATTCAAGTTGCAAGTGAAAAGTGCTAAGTGCCAAGTTCCAAGTGTCGTCATAAGTAGCAAATGTCACACTGCCAGAGTGCATATACTCCATTGGCGCTGATGCGGGAATATTCACCCACATATACATGCTTTCGAACACACACATATACATATAAATACTTGTATGCAGTTTGTCGCATTGCATTCAGTTCTCTTTATTAAAAGTCTCAGCGAGTGGATTGTCACAGCTGTGTTGGAAAATTGTTTTTGAGCAAATAACCAAATAAGTAAATTCGTGTTATGGAAAAGTAAATTTGAGTTGCGTTATTTAAAGTGATAGAATTTCTATTACACTTAACAAGGAGTAAATAAAATGTAATGTATTATATTATTAGCCATAATAAGTTGGCTACGCTACAACAAGAAGATTTCCGCTTTTTATATTACGCGTACATGAACTTGTTCCAGATCTTCCTAGTGTATGAGAAACCGTCGCGAAATAATAGAGTAAGAGATCTTCTCAGTGAAGCGTTTTTTTTTTTGACTCCCGATCATCATACAATTCGAGCTATTTTTATTTATTTATTTTCAACGAAAACTTGATGAGCGCCGGGAAACTTTCTCAACAGAGAGCCATCTTATATTTCGTCGTCCGCTAAAATCCAAAAATTAACTCAGAGTAAGTTTAGGTGAGATTACACTGGATAACTGTCATGCCATATATAGACCTACACATCCTTTGAAATGCCAGATGAAGATTTATTAATAATAATAGCTGAAGTTTACATCATGTTCAGCGCTTTTTGAGAAGTTTAATAGAGATTTGATATCGAATTTTAATATTTCATTCAGTGCCTTGTACTGCGAAGCTCCTCGATATCTAAGCCGAGTTCTATTGTAGATAATATCAGACATAAGCAGAAGAGGTGCACCAGCGTTTCTCGCATGTCTTCTTCGCTGCACTTTCTACATGTGTCATCGTTAATAATGCTTATACGACTCCATGTGATGCTAGTAAGTTGTGCCACTACTAGGCCAACAACCGTCCTGCAGTCTTTTCGAGATCGTGTGAGTAGAAAGCCTGTCTGCTTTCTTTTCGCTCGCTTGAACCGGTTCGGTAGTCAAGCATATAGCACTTTTGGCAATATCATTAGCTATTTCGTTTCCCGGAATGCCCTTTTGGCCAGGAACCCAGTATATATGCTGCCGCTTTCCGGTAGCCAGACATTCCCTCGCTCAATGCGTTGTAAGATTATTGCTTTAATTGCAGATTGGAATGTCAGACAATCGGGATAAATTTGGTTTTTTGATGAGATCATTGCAAATTCTTTGCATACTTTTTAACGAAAAGAATATTAGCTGATCGATGATAATTTTTACGGAACTGTGCTGATTTGATCAATGCCGAAAATTATCTAAATCGAATAACTAATGATATTTAGGCGTCACTTAGCAACTTAAAATGAAATTCATATATCTTACAAGTAACTAACACTTTTACTCAATCATCTTTCGGGCCTTGAGTCTCAAACAAAACCGAACAAATGCGGAAGTCAGAGGTACTTTCAAACAATCGCACAACATCTCAGCTGCGTAGATATAATATTATGTAAATGCTCTTGCCTCATATATCTCCATATATGTATACCTATATAACAATAAAATACCGTTAATGTATTTAATACGCCGTAAAATGTAAACAAAACCGCACGCGATTTCAAATTTGCCAAAGTTCGCTGCCGCAAAGTGTGACAAATATTTCGGTAAATCTTTGCCGAATATCGATTTCAAGTAAAATATGAGCGTTTGGAGGAGGGCGGCATGAAATATTCCACACGCTATTATGCTGTCGTATTCACATACTCGTATGCCTTTTTTATGTCTTTAGACTTTTTGTATGGACGTACGGGGGAGTGTGTGTGCTCACAACACTTAAATGCTCCATTAACTTGTGTCAAGTTTGTCGTCTTCTTGGGGGCTCTTAACGCCAAAGAAAATATTTTCCAAGGCTTTTCACAATTTCGATTTTCTTTCTTTTTTTTTTGACATTTTTATAGGTAAAAAACTTCGCTTCGCATTGATTTCGAGAGCTGGGAGTGCCGTGCAGACAATCTTAATTTCATACAAGCTTTGTGGGAAGTACATATGTATTCACAAATATGCATTTGCATATGTGTAAAATATGTGTAAAGTTGATTTAATGTCGTGTCAGCGCTGTGAGGTACTTTTAGCTTCCAAAATAATATGCTTGAGCATTAAATTGCCACTGGCTCAATATCGATTTTCCTTTGAGTACCATATTGAAACAGTCACAATCGGAACAGATTTTCAAAGGGCCTGCAGCTTTCTGATTTTCGCGAATAGTTGGTAAATCCCTAGGAAATATTTTTCCTTATACACTCCCTCAAGGTAACGAAAAATGCTTAAGTAAGCTTGTTGTTCTTTAAATTGGTCCCTCTAGCAGAAGGCAATTAACTTAGAATAGAGTTACACCTATGGGTGTTAGCTTAGGTTAGGTACTGAGGCCGATGCTCGCGACGGAGATCACGGAGACCCCACTTAGATAGTTAAAAATCTTGTTGTTGTGATATCAGAAAAACTTCAAAAGAGGGATCAAAAAGATTAATGATAATCCATAAAGCGCTTTCAGCCTATCACAAATCTCTTAAGGAGGCTAATTTCGATTGAAACTAATTCGTCCGGAGGACTATTCAACTTGAATAGGCAACTATTGAAACATGTTAGTTCTGGTTAAGTCCAGATATTTCTTCCTTTTCAAAGTAATAGAAAAAAATAAAACCAGTGGTTTATCGACCGACGTTTAACACAACTTATGAACTTCTGTGAAACGGAAAACCGAACTTATGATATCATCCTAAGATTTGCTTAGTTAGACGGAATATACATATAACTAGATATTGCCACAATGAAAGAAACCTTCAGTATGAGCTGGAAAAACTGCCTTTAATAAAAACTGAGGATATTTTTTCATTGAAAAAGTTTGATTGTATTATCAAAGATCTGGTCTTCGCCTCTATGACTATTACTTGTTGTTTAAAACGAGGGGTGCACACACCACTGATTTAATATTAACACTCGCTTTGGTATTATATAAAAGTCCGTGTCTCGGTGTATAAATAATTTTGGTTTTACAATTTACAATGCATTTGACTTTAACGAAATTAAATTAATAACGTAATAAATAATATTTATTGTAACAAATGCCGAGTGGCGGGGATTTGTGGAGAGAATTGAACGTAGCGCGCAGGATCGCTGAGTGTTGAATTGATGCAGGACCACTATTGTCCCGAATAAGGGGTCGAATTAGGAGCTATCAGGAGCTGTCGTAATCGAATGTGATGAAGAAGCTGCCAGGACCTTCATTTTTGTTAGCTGGTGGTATACAGGCGCCGTGTTGTTGTGTGCTGTGTTGTCCTGTGTGGTGATTTATAAGTGTGGTGTCATCTGGGATGCTGTATTGTGGTGTGTTATACTAAGGTGTGTCATTATTTTTCCGGAGCGGTGTACTTGGAGAGGGGAGTTTATACTTATTTAAACACTTGTATAGTCATATCTTCTTTTAGGCTGTTTTATCTTGAACGACGATTTCCTCGTCTTTCAGCCAGCCGACTTTTAACGAAAATTTTTACCTCCTATAAAGTAGTCGATTTTAAAGCAGATGCTTGAAAACTCCGTTAGATTACTAATTAGGTTGGAGGTTGGCTGAGTTACATGCAGTTTTTGACGAAACTTGACTGAGTAGGAAATGACGAATCATATATTCTATACTTTTTCAATTCTACATAGATAAAGAATTAAATGATTGTATTATATAAACGTGAAACAACCAATATACTGCAATACAGAGTGTGCCTTCTTTTATTTGGAATGACTTTAAAATTGAAGAGCTAATTTTAGGTTTGAGATATTTTAATTTACAATTGGGTTTTCCTTTAGCTTTTTAGGCTATTTAGCATGAATATTTCCTATTTCAGATTTGAATTTATAAATTCCAATATGTAGCAGGCATCTCGAAATTCGATAGTCAATATTGGTATAAAAAGTTGAGAAGCCTTTTGGGCAGTGTCACGTCATTTATACATTTTTATTATCTCCAAAGCTTTAATGTTAGATGATTGTTAAATCGAGACATGCTGATACTGCCTTGTGAAACTGAGCCCAACTTGTCGGCATACGAATTTTAATTTTCCCGTCATTACTCACTTCAACGCAATATCAACTGAAACGTCCATAGTTCGACACTGCATAAGCGTCGGTTAAAGAGCAATGTACTTTTATAGCTCCATGTCAAGGATAACCCCATCGCCATTAATTGAACTAATAATAAAGAGCGAAATTTGGAGCTTTTCTTTAAGAGATTTAGGAAAAGAAGCTATCACTACTGCACCTCTACCCATCGCTCTTAATTAAAGTAATTTGTAAATTCAGCTCATAATTTTTTAAATCTCTCCTTTCAGAATTCCTCGATGAACCCCAGACGTACTTTCGTACTGACCTAAGTGATAGAGCGCCCACAATAACCGGTTCAACATAAACGGAATTGACCCGGATTTTATCCGCCCAAAGGCTGTTATTTCGATAATCTAACCCTAACTGAATCGGTAAGTAATTAGGCACCCTGTGAATTTGCCTCAGGCCTGTATATATGTATATGAACCCTACCTCATCCGTTTAGAATTGAAGTAGCTTCCCCCAGCCATGGCGAAGTAATCAATAGAATCGTTTACAATTATTTTTCTTTTATACTTATGTATTTTTTATGGTACAAAAGTAGCATTACAATAATTCATAATTTATATACCGTCGACAATTAAAATGCGCAGTCCTTGACATACCGACAATGATGATTAATTATATGCGCTAACATCTTCAACTGCACTTTCCGGTCGCAGTTTCCGCTACACAGTCTAATTAGTTATACAAATAAAAAGAGTTAATGCGCAAAAATATATAGTATGTAGGTATCTGAAATATAAAAAGTGCAAAATCACTGAATGCACACACATTTTTCCTTGAGTGCACAAAAGTAACGGCAAAATAAGACTTGCAGCGTTGTGTTATGTAAACGTGCAACGATGCGAATAAAGCAACGCCAACAACAGGCTTTAAAGTGTTCAGAGTGGAAGGAGAATAGAGTAGAGTTAAGTATGGAAGACCGAGATAGTGTGCGTGGAAGCGAGAAGAGAGTGCAGTGAGCAAAACGCGGTGAAAAGTGGGTAGTTGTGGAGCAGCAAGACAGCGGCAACCGGAAATGCTGGTTTTTCACCACATTTTCCCCACATACTTTTGCATATGGACAAGCACACATACAAATACATTTCTATATACTTGTATGTACACATACCATATATACAACTATGTAATATAAGTATATGTAAATGTGAGTATTCCTCTTTTCTGGCACTTTGTTGTAATACATTATGCATGCGTTTGTGGATGCGTTGCCCGTAAACACACCACTTCTGCGTGTTGGCAATAATGCCAAGCGACAATTTTCCAGCAGCAAAAATTTGTATGAAAAAAATGCTACAAACATTACTGCATTTTTTTGTAATTTCGACAGACGACAAACGACATAATGATGCCACTAACAGACACAGGACATGTGCATGCGACGTGTTGTGTAGACACAAAGTATATATATAGTTAGACGGATTTATTCAATCCTCCTAGGAAATCTATCGATATTGTATACAATTGTTTGAAGGAAACATATTTTTTGCAGAAAAACTCAACTTAAATTAGCAGCGATATCAACTAACGATAAATGTTGTGGGCTAAAACCGTTACTGGGTACATCTAGCGTAACAGCAAAAAACCGATGATACACATAGTAAACTTTTTGAAAAAAGATCAAAATTTTTCGAGTTGTACGTGATCTCCAAAGGCGCTAACAAAACTAGTCCTCTTACACTTGCAGTGATTCAGTCCTTCTCCGTGAATGAAACCAAATACAATAATAACAATAAACCCCATTAACTTCTTAACCGAAGCCGTCACAAATACAACAGATTCCTTAAAAGAGCTAGATTTTGATCGGCCAGATTGTATAGCAGCTATATGCTATAGCGGTCCGATCTAAACAATTTCTTTGCAGATTTCACCGATGTTTTGAACAATAAGTCATGCCAAATTTTTTTAAGATATCTGACCAATTAAAAAAAGTTTTCCATATAAGCACTTGATATCGATCGTTCAGTTTGTATGGCAGCTATATGCTACAGTGGTCCGATATTGGCGGTTCGACAGATGAACAGGTTCTTGGGGAGAAACGAACATATGCAAAATTTCAGATAGATATTTTAAAAACTGAGGACTTCGTGTATATACAGACAGACAGAGATGGCTAAATCGACTCCGTTCATCATGCTGATCATGTATGTATGTACATATATATTTTATAGGGTCTCCGACGTTTTCTTCTGGGTGTTACAAACTTCGTGTTAAACTGAATACACCCTATTCAGTTCACAATTACCGCGCCTCATAATTAGTTTTATACGACTGAGTAAGCCATCGAACAAATTTTGCCCACCAACTTGATCTGTTGTGAATAACTTAAGAAGAGAGGTATTAGTATAGCGCTTAATACAGTTAGAGGAGACTTATAAAAAGCAAACGACGTTATGAATCCTCCGATCTTTATATACTATAATTTAGTACGGCATACCATACTAGCAATATGGCAGCTTTATACTTGTAGCAATTCAAACAAAATACTTGAGCTTAACCAGGAGCATGTCGTTAGAGAATTCTGTGTAGTGTTATTTTCTTATAGAACAATTCTTCCACTTCGACGAATATCCCGTAGCTTTGGCTTCCTCTCGAACAAATATTCGTGCACATTGGATAATTACCTCTCTCCATATGCGAAAGTTTTTGTTTTAAAAGTTATTTGTTTATATTTTCAAACAAAAAGCTGATAAGCACTTAACATATATAAGAAATGTGTTAAAAATTTCTGGTGAAGAAAAGTATTAGCAAGACTCGCCATTCTCATTGAAAATATTATTGATATAGATTTTGATTAAATTTAAGTTAAACTGGTAAATTTATATCTACCTTTACTTTATCCATGGATTTACTATGGTGGTAAGATCTGATTCAGAAAACCGGTATGAACTAATCTTTAACTCATGCCTCTAAATCTACGGGCCTATTTTTATAATTTGGTCTGCATCAAAATCAACCTCAGCAAAGTTTAATAATATCCCCAATATCCTCTAGAGGGGAATGGCATAGGGGTGAGATGGAAACAGATATAAGTATATATACGGATGGATCAAGATTATATTAACGAGTAGAAAACGGTGTCTTTCCAGCAAAATTAGATACCAGAATCGCCTTCCGACTACCGGATCACTGCAGTATTTTGCAAGTGGAGATCTATTATCTAACCTATTACAATGCAATGGGTTGCAGAACACAGTGACATTATAGGTAACTGTGTAGCAGATGAACTGGCCAGATTAGGTACCACCTTACTATTAGATTCCGATATTCCATTTTAACCTCTGGCTACTTGTAGATATTAAATGTATAAACATGTTATAGATATAGCTGATATATAGATATATGTAGATGTAGCTTGTGGAAATAATGTCTGTCTTGTTGAACAAGTGGACAAACGTTTCATGAATGGAATACGGGCCGTTCATGCTGAAATTTAATTTAATGATGATTACTGTAAAAACTGCCAAGAAATTGAAGAAGAAGGACTGTAGAACATATTCTCTGCGAATGCAAGAGTTGTGCTTGAATAGATCATTTCACCGCGTCTTATTTATCTTATTTCTTCACATCTCACCTCATCTTTCTATAAACAAAGTGATCCATACCAAGCTTAATTTCGCTTTCATATCTGCATACTTTACAGTCGATCCTTTAATAAATAAATTTCTTGCAGTGCACAAAGCGCAATTCATGACTTGATTATAAACATTTTATGTATATGTATATATGTATGTATACATTTGGGTGTTTGCATGTATGCTTGCATACTTTAGTAGTGCATAATATGCATTTACTCGTCATGTGCATATTAACGCCTGTGGTTTGCAGAGGAGCCTCCACTGTGACAAGTGTTGGCAAGTTGGGAATTGCGTGATGGTGACTGTCTTTTATTGACGCAATATTATTTTACTTGTTGTTGCATTTGTATGAATTTTCATAAGCTGGAAGAAAGAATTTGAAATGTTTCTTTCTTGATTTTGCCTTATTTTCTTGTTCCCACCGGACACTAGGGACATGTGGTTGTTGCGGTTGAGTATGCTTCCTGAAAATTGAACTGCTTTCATATTCACTTTCACACCCATACTGCTTTTTGCATTTAAAAAATTTGGAATATATTTAAAAATATTTTGCAAAATTGTTCCTTCAACTTGTATTTTTATAGAGTGTTTCAGTGGGCACTTGCAAGTATATTTATTTGACTTGTTGGCGAAGGTTGTGCTAACTTTTATGTTATGTTGGAGAAAGCTTTAAGTTTTGATGTTGAGTTGACGAAATAGAGGGAATTATAAAAAAAAATTAACGTTTTAGAACTTCGGGATATGAAGCTCTAGCTGTATTAAAGGTAGGATATTGTTTGGCTTTACCATCGAAAATCTCTTTATTCAGATCTACCTGTATACACTATGTGTTTAAACCAATTTTCTAAGCTTTTGCCACTCTGATTGAGGTATCTCCAAAACATGCGCCCTGAACGCATAAACCGCTCTTCAGGTGTCGAAAAACATTAATCTCTGGGATAAAAAGAAGTCGTTCGGTGCCAAGTGAGGACCTTACGGAGGATGACTTATCAAATCGATGTTTTGAGTGCCCAAAAATGTGGTTGTTTCAGTCGATGTGTAGAGCTCGTATTGTCTGGTGAAGAGGGATCTGTCTTCGGCGGTTGGTTTTTCTTATTTCTTGAGAGACAACTAGCAAACAAATGATTTTTTACCACTCAGAATTTACTCTTCTGTGTTTTTATAGTGTTCTAATTTGGTTACGCCATGTCCAGTTTTTCGAAAAAAAACAGGAAACCATTTGCTTGAAAGTGCTTCGTGCTCAAAGAATTTGAGATTTGGCTCATCTGGAAACACCCATATAAAACCCACGATTCATCACCTGTTATAATGTCATAACAGTGTTTCAAAGCACAGCTTTCGTATTTTTTTTTTTTAACGTTTCTCTCGACCAATCGACATGAACTTTTATTTGAGCGATTGAAAAATTGGGATCCAACGTGAACAAATTTTTTTTACAGTCAAACGTTCATGCAATATTGAATGTATGCTGGTCCTGTTAATGCCTATAGTTGACTCAATCTAACGATAGGTCACATGATGATCTTGCAATATCAGTTTGCGCACAGCATCAGTAGTTTCCGGAACAAGAACTGTTTTAGGACGACCTTTATGAAATTTGTCTTGGAGTGATCTACGACCTCGATTGATCACCAAAAATTTCATTAAGTTCATCGATGCACTGTTGCTGAGTTAATCCATGACGAAGGTTGTAAAAAATAATCGCGCGAAAATGTTTACGATTTAATTTAATTTTTTAGGCGTGCTGAATATTTTAAGTTACTGTTAACAACATATGCGACATGCGACCG